ATAAAACTATACTTTACATGCCTATATGCTCAATTTACTTAATTAATTAATTTATTTATTTATTTCTTTATAAAAGACCCAACAGCCAATGGCCATTAACAGGGTCACATAAGTATACAGTTGAAAATACAATATATAAAATTTTTACAAAATCATAATACAATTTTAGATACCAATTAATTTTTATAATTAGATACAATAATTTTTAACTAATTAATTAGTAAATTCAGAAGACAAAATTGACACTAAAAATTAAGACTTAAAGAGAAGACAGCGGCCAAAGGTATTCTGTTAATAATTGAGAATGGTTAATCTAAATTTATTATCATTCCAGTAAATTAAATTAATAATGCCAACATAACATTATGAAATAAATAATATTAATAGTAAGTAAGATTAGTAACATTAATTATATAGGAAATGCATAAGTCAAAACGTCAGGTGGTTATAAATTCGTAATTGGCTCTCTTAGATACTAAAATGGTTGCTAGCACGCTGACCGTCAAGGGCTGATTAAAGCACATTATGTCTAATTTCATTTGATCATTATCGCATATGTAGTTACATAGAGACATCAGTTTGTAAAGCGGAGAATTTCTAGTCAGGTTCGAACGAACGGAATGAAGATAAAACGTAGGATTTGACCTAGTGTTAGCTTATGGGACTGCTATTGAAAACTGTTGCAAAAATCGATCATGACGATACACATGGCCCGGGACATTGATTGCCAGAATTATTATTTTCACGATACTGTGTCGTTTCTGAAAGTACGGTTATTTATTATAGTGACAGCTACTAATCATATTTTCGATATTAAATTATAAATTGTGGCTTTTACACTTTTTACATTAAGTTTTGTAATATTTACATTTGTGCCACCCCGATGTCCGCTGTACTGTTTGAAACTATAAAAATTAATCGGTGAATTTTACAGTTTAATTTTTTCCGTGTAGAATCAATTAATTAATTGTTCAACAAAATTTATAGGTAGAGGATAGGGGACTTCACCGTCCAACCCCCCATCGGACGTTTCACCCTTGGAGCTCACCTGGAACTTTATCTACTATTACTTTGCTATGAATGACTATTGAAATATGTCCTTAATGATTTAAATAGTAAATTAACTATATTGAAATCTAAAGTTTAATTCAAAGTATTTGACTGATTCCTTGATAGAATATAAGATAAAAGCCCCAATAGATGATCACGTGCCAATATATGATCACTCCATGTATTTGTATATCTATATTCACAAATATAGGTATACAAATATATGGAGTGATCATATATTGGCACATGATCATCTATTGGGGCGTTTACCTTATATATTTAAGCCAATATACATAAGTCAATAAAATTTCATAATAAAGTCACATAAAATAAGCCAAATTTGAAAAAAACTTCTTTTTTTAATTAAAAAGAAACTAGCGCGGATTTTTGCAGAGTTGGTTGAAGTTTTTTTTGAGTAAAAAAAAAAAATTAAAGGGGTCTGACTTCGAGAAAATAACGGTTATTTCGAAAAAACCGAAATATTTTTTTCTAAAAACTACATTATAAAACCAAAATTTTCTATTTGGTGTGGTCCCAATCGCTCAATTTTTTAACAAGTTCTAGCGATTTAAAAAAAAAAAAGAGCGGTTTTTTTTTCAAAAATTCGTAACTTTTTTGAAGTTGGGTAAAAAAATCTGAAATAATTTCTAAAAATTTTTTTTTTGGGGGGGGGGGGATAGAATAAGATACAAAACTTTGAGCGAAATCAAAGGGGGTCCATAATACATACATCTGACGTGTTGACTCGTTGACACGTAGTTGACTCGTAATTCATTAAATTATGCAGGTAAAAATACTAATTAAAATGTCCCAAGCAGAAAAAATCGATTTGAAATATGTAGTGTCAATAGTGAGTGGAAAAAAAAATTACTAATTACTTCGCATATGAACCAGAATACTGAATAGTATATGACACTTCTGTTATCAATGAAAAACGCTTGACTGATTTTTAATCCAAACATTAATTATTTCTTTTTTCCATACTTTACACACTAGTCTTCGTTTTTCATCTTCCCAAATCCTTGAATAAAATCCACCTAGCTACCCCTTATGATCATTTGCTAGAGGGTCTAAATTTGCATTTTATTCGTGTGGTCCAGGCAGTTTTCGTTTCTCCATTTGGATTCGCCAAATGCACGAACATTTATTTTAATTAAATTACTGTGTAGTAGCGTCGAACAACCCATTTCCTATAAATTATCCCTTTACCACACTCTTTTACGTCTAACCAACCAACGATATTAATGTAACTCGTTGACCTTTCTGTATTTTACTGTTCTTCATTTTATACTATATAATTTTATTTATTCATATTATTAATTGTTTTTATTTTGTTTTATCTTTTTGTAATAAATTCTCCAGCCTTAACTACTTTTATATTGTTACACACGATAATTACTAAGTAAATTTTTGTCGGATGATTTAAAAGTAAAACGAAATAAATTGTTGAATTGTGAATTTCAAATTAAAAGATTCAAGCATTATGGTGATGCGTTTTTAAAACGTCTAATCTTTCTTGAGCCTCTTCAAATTATCTAATAAATTTTTTTTCATCTGATTTATCTCAAATAAATTTTTTAAAACTGATAAATCTCAAAATTCATCTTCAAAATTAGATTTATTTTTTTATCGTTATTGCGAGTAAAGACTATAAAATTAAGATGCATCGCAATAGAAGCAATTGACTGAATATTCTCAGTGAAATTTTTCAACTGTTTAGTTCGGCGCACCTCACGGGTATAGACCCGAAAAATTTAAAGCTTGAAAAGTAATGTATATTGTTTTAGTACACAGAAAAAAAAATTTTCTTGAATGAATTATACAATTCTGAAGAACTTAATCTTCTTTATTTGAGTAGAAAAATTCTTGAACTAATAAATTTTCCTTGATTTAAGGGGGAAAATACGTGTACAGGCTTGAAAAAATTCAATTTTTTTTTTATAAATCGCTTGTAAAACTATTCAAAAATGTAGAATTAAAATTTCAAGTAAGAATTCCTATTCGTTCAAAAGTTATAAGCGATTTAGTAATTACTTTAATACTATTTTACGTTAACTTATTCTGTCACTTTTTTTTCAAACGCGTTTTTCTCGAAACGAGTTTTTTCAAAACTGTGTGCAGTCTAGCTCAAAGAGTTTTAAACCAATCATCTTGCGATATGGCTTATAGTTTTCTTCATACAATTACCTTGAATATGAACCTCAATCGAAAGCGATATTTTTATTTAAACTATTTTTTTTTTAATAAACAATGTATGAAAAAGTGGTGAAAAATCACGACTTAATTTCACAGTCCTCTATAAAATGCAAATTTTTACTTTTTTTTTTTGGAATTGAGGTTCATATGGAAGATACACATATAAATGAAGTAATTTTCCTGTGCCATTGATTTCAAATAAAAATTGTAGCTTCCATACTGCACACAGACTGCTAAGTCGGATGACAACCTACGATGTGTATCAGCTGATATCTCCGCTATTTGTTAACTTATATTGTTGTCTAATATAAAAAAATACTCATAAATATATGTATAAAATAACCTGATAGATTCAATAAATAATATTAATTTCTTATACCTTAAAAAAATTAATGACAATCAGCATGAAAACGGCCTTCTACACGTATTTCCCCCCTTAAGGAAATTTTACTTGATTTAAGAATTTTTCGTATTGATTCAAAAAAATTACCCTCTTCGAAATTATTTTCTAGGTTCAAGAATTTTTATCTCGAATCAAGTTAATTTTTTTTTCAGTGTAACTTTTCATATTTATCATTTCTTATGTTAAAATTATTTATTTGGCTACTATTATATAATCTATAATTGTGTAAATGAAAAATGAAATATAGTTGGGCAAAAAACGCGTAAATTAACTGTAGGTGAAATTATCTCGCGGATACTCTCATGATAATGGTAGTGTTGAGGAAGAAAATCTGTTAACCGACTGAAATTACATTCTGCATGAAATTCAAGGTAAGTAATCGGCATATTGATTAAAATGTCAGCTAATTTAGATTTTTTTTAAGATGTTATTTATGAACAGTGAATTATATTGTACTTACAAAGTAAATTTACAAATCAGAGGACTCAAATTATTCAAAAATTACTGGCGAATCGGCAAGCTAATTCCCAAATTATTGTTACAATTATTATAACAACTAATTACTGAGTTACTATGGTGATTAGTTGATGTCATTATTATCAAATAACAAAAAATATAATGGTTACACATTATTGAAAAAAAAGAGAATTTTCAATACATGTTTTTAATTGGTACATCATATGATGAAGCCTGCAGGAATGTAAAATCATTCGTGACGAATGAAGATTTAACTGAGAGGAGAATTTTTAAGGAATTTTTTTCTAGAAATATAATCATACATTTGTGTGTATCATACTTCAAAAATATTTAAAATAGTCGTCAAAGGGTTAAAAATGAAATTAACAATAGATTAACAAACTTAAAAAAAATAATACTTGGAAAACTAGCACGTTCGCAAACGAAAGATCAATATGACAAATTTTTTGAAAGTAATTGGTACAGGAAAGTTTTTTAAAAGTATTCAAAACCTCTGTGAGAATGTAAAATCGATAAATTAATGAAGTGCAATACGTTAAAGCGGCTGAAGATCGTATAGCAAACTCACGAACGGTTCAGAGTGTGCGTTGTGCAAACGTCGAATAATTCAATCAGCTAAGTGCTAATGACAACTAGAGAAATATAGATTTTTTTCGATTCGCAACAACAAATGTTTCCATGGATACTTTGTGTACTTCACGAGCAATTTAATAAGCTTCTGGGTCACTTGAAAGTTATTCTTTGAAGAGAGCGGACGCTTACATTTTCTCGTGATGATGCGTAATCCGTTAATTTAATCGAATCTCAGTGCTTTATTCTGATTAATTAAAGATTTCGTTTAATTTAAAGAAATTCGGTGTTGTAAAAATTGAAAATGTGGCGAGAAATAATTTTGAGTTGCTTGGTTCTTGCAAACGTCGTAGAAAGTAAAATCATAATTAACGATCACAAGCCAGAAGATTCTTCAGAACGTCTTCGGCGTGATGCGGTAAGTCTTATTGTTTATTTCATTAAAAAGAATCACTTTAATTTTGAATGAAAATTTAATGAAACAATTGTTAACAGAGGGAATTAGTTCAAACGTGTTTCACGAATAATTCAAATCCAGTGATGATCTCTGAGGACTTGTTCGACAATAATTGGGACCCTGTACGAAATTCGCTGATTGTAATCGACCGTGGATTTAACAAACAGATAACAGGTTTTCTTTCTACGTATCCGACATATGTTCTTCCATTTGAGTCGATCGATAATCTGAAACCGGTCATCGACAATCTCCAAAGATCACAGTTCTGGAACATAAAATCACCGTTTCTGATGGTCGGAAAAGAATTGGGTTGCCTCAACGCCAGGAAAGTGCTGGAGTTCATGTGGAACCACGACTTGCTCTCTGTATATTACTTGTGTAACATTCAGAATTCGACGATGGTCTTCACGCTGAACCCTTATGCAAGATACGCTCCGGCACCGTGGAAACTGATCGACAAATTCGATGAAAGTGATAAGAAACTGATACTATTTACTCTCAAGTACACAAAAGGTACGTTTAAAGTTGAATATTTCCATTGTGACCAAAAATTATAACTTTGTTGTTACTTTTAGGCCCAAAAATTTGCAATAGCATCGTATTCAACAAAACAGATTATCTGGAGAATGCAGAAATAAGGTTTATTGATTTTAATGAAGATAAATCATACTCGGAAGAGGAAAATAGAGAATTCGCCAAAAGTATTGTAAAGAATGGATTGAAAACACCTTATATTAATCTGTATAAGATATCAGCTTCAATCAATGCAACGCCAACATTAGAATTTATTTCTGTTGAACCGCAGCGAAGTTACGCTCATGAATTTGCTGACAGCAGATATGACATTTATAACAGGCCCGAGCTGATCGACGTTACTGACTATGAGTACGTAGATGTCATTCTGGACTATACTACCGATAAAACATTTTCAATCGTGACCAAGAAAACTGATTCTTTAATACGAATTAGTGAAATAACCAATAATGTGCAATTTATGATAGGATCAAGCTTGATTTTGATCATGTTTGCAATGTTGATGGTGATCATTAACAGAGATGACGTCTGTTTGGCTGTGATGGACATGATGAGGTTAATTACTGGCATAGCACTTGAAACTCCACTCAACCGACTGGCGATGAAGCTTGTATTCTTCTTTGGGTTCTTGTTTGCATTTCTGATAGTTCCTGATTTTCTGGGCGAGATGTTATCTATTTTGTCGAAACCTTCGAAGCATAACGTCGAGACACTCAGGGATCTCTATGAGAGAAAGTTTCATGTTTATTATTGGGAGTCATTAAAAAGTGATTTGATGAATGAACAACTGTGGATTACTGATGAAGACAAAAAATATGTTCACCCAGTTCCTTATTGGGCCATGCAAGATTGTTTGTTCAACGTGCAAAAAAACTCCACAATTGCTTGCCTTCATGAAACACAATTTTTACTGTTTGAGTCAGATAGAAGAAATGGTTTGTACATCTCAACGGAGACTAGTTTCAAAAAGCAATCAGTCTATTGGATCAGGAAGAACTGGCCCTTGAAGAGTAAGTTTGACAAAATGATGCTGACGGCTTTGGAACCAGCATTGGGATACACAACATTTTTGAAAAAAAATTATATCGATAAGATAGTGAAAAAACGTGTGAAAAAGAAAAGGATTGAAGAAAGTGAAAAGTATGACCAGTTTGATTATGATAATTTGATTTTTAGTTATTATTTCATAGGATTTCTTGCCGCGCTCGGGATTGTGATTTTCGGGATTGAGGTAATACTTGTCAGATATTTTGAAATTAACAGACTATTCTAATTACGAGCGCGTTACTAGTCATTTTATTTGCGTGTTTAGTGTTGTTGGTTGTTGTGTAGTGTGGCTATAAATTTTAATTTAATTATTGTGTAGTAGCTTCGACTAACCTATTTCCTATATAAATTATCCCTTTGCCATACTCTAATACGTCTAAATAACCAATGATATTAATGTAACTCGTTGATCTTTCTGTATTTTACTGTTCTTCTTCATTTTATATTATATAGTTTTGTTTATTCACATTACTAATTGTTTTTATTTTGTTTTATATCTTTTTGTAATAAATTTTCGAGCCTGAACTACTTTAATATTGTTACACACGATAATTACTAAGTGATTTTTTGTCGGATGATTTAAAAATAAAACGAACAAAATTCTTGAATTGCGAATCTCAAATTAAAAGATTTAAGCATTTTGGTAGAATCATTTCATTTGTAATTGGTTTGTTAAATATTTTGTGTAATAGATGCGTTTTGAAATGTACAATCTTTCTTGAGCCTCTTCGAAAATATCTTATACATTTTTTTAATTGTTTTATTTAATTTTCTAAAACTGATAAGTATAGATAAATCTCAAAATTTACTCCTTAATGTTAAGTGACGTCATACACAATTATAAAATAAAAATTTAAAGTTAGAAAAGTAATGTATATTGTTTCCGTATCTTTATAGATTTATCATGTCTTTTAATAAAATTGTTTATTTGGCTATTATATAATCTATAATTGTATGAACGAAGAATGAAATACAGTTGGGCAAAAAACACGTAAGTTATAACTGTAGGTGAAATCATCTCGGATACTCTCATGATGATGGTAGTACTGAGGAATAAAATCTGTTAACCGACTGAAATTACATTCTGTATGAAATTTAAGGTAAGTAATCGGCATATTGATTAAAATAAGTCAGCTAACTTGAATTTTTTTATGACAAAGCCTGCAGGAATCTAGAATCATTTATGACGGATATAGATTTAACTAAAAGAAGAATTTTGGAGTTATGTTTCCAACATTATCGTGATAAATTTCTTTGTATCATACCTCAAAAATATTTAAAATAGTTGTCAAAAGTCCAAAAATAAAATTATCAATTGAACAAACTGAAGCAAAAATAATAAATACTTGATAAACTAACTCGTTCGAAAATTAAAGATCAGTATGACGAATTTTATGACGAATTTTGTAAAAGTAATTGGTACAAGACTATAATTTCATTATAATATCAGAGGAGATTGGTTCAGTCTCAATTTTAATAAAAATCTCGGGAATAGAACGGATCTTTTTTTGGACAACCAATTGACTTAGCACTAAAATATATGAGTAATGTCGATGCTAGATAAGCCGACGACAAGCTGGCGTAATGAATTTTACAAGTACAATCTCTATGTTGCTATAAAATTAGCGCTGTCATAGAAGATATAAACATTTTCTTCCGAGGTAAACTGAAAAATTTTTCAAATATTTCAGATTAACTGTAGATTCATTCAATAGCTAATATGCTCCTACGTTTTTTGAAAGTATTCAACACTTCTGTTAGAGTGTAAAATCGATAAATTAATGAAGTGCAATATGTTAAAGCGGCTAGAAGATCGTATGGTAAACTCACGAACGGTTCAGAGTGTGCGATGTGCAAACGTCGAATAATTCAATCAGCTAATGACAACCCGGGAAATATAGATTTTTTTCGAATCGCAACAACAAATGTTTCCATGGATACTTTGTGTACTTCACGAGCAATTTAATAAGCTTCTGGGTCACTTGAAAGTTATTCTTTGAAGAGAGCGGACGCTTACATTTTCTCGTGATGATGCGTAATCCGTTAATTTAATCGAATCTCAGTGCTTTATTCTGATTAATTAAAGATTTCGTTTAATTTAAAGAAATTCGGTGTTGTAAAAATTGAAAATGTGGCGAGAAATAATTTTGAGTTGCTTGGTTCTTGCGAACGTCGTAGAAAGTAAAATCATAATTAACGATCACAAGCCAGAAGATTCTTCAGAACGTCTTCGGCGTGATGCGGTAAGTCTTATTGTTTATTTCATTAAAAAGAATCACTTTAATTTTGAATGAAAATTTAATGAAACAATTGTTAACAGAGGGAATTAGTTCAAACGTGTTTCACAAATAATTCAAATCCAGTGATGATCTCTGAGGACTTGTTCGACAATAATTGGGACCCTGCACGAAATTCGCTGATTGTAATCGACCGTGGATTTAACAAACAGATAACAGGTTTTCTTTCTACGTATCCGACATATGTTCTTCCATTTGAGTCGATCGATAATCTGAAACCGGTCATCGACAATCTCCAAAGATCACAGTTCTGGAACATAAAATCACCGTTTCTGATGGTCGGAAAAGAATTGGGTTGCCTCAACGCCAGGAAAGTGCTGGAGTTCATGTGGAACCACGACTTGCTCTCTGTATATTACTTGTGTGACATTCAGAATTCGACGATGGTCTTCACGCTGAACCCTTATGCAAGATACGCTCCGGCACCGTGGAAACTGATTGAAAAATTCGATGACAGTGACAAGAAACTGACACTATTTACTCTTGAGTACACAAAAGGTACGTTTAAAGTTGAATATTTCAATTGTGACCAAAAATAATAACTAAGTTCTTATTTTTAGGCCCAACGATTTGTAGTAGCATCGTATTCGACAAGATAGATCATCTGGAGAATGCAGAAATAAGGTTTTTTGATTTTAATGAAGATAAATCATACTCGGAAGAGGAGTATAGAGAATTAGCCGAAAACATTGTGAAAAATGGATTGAAAGCAGCGTATATTAATCTGTTTAAGATATCAGCTTTAATCAATGCCACGCCAATATTTGAATTTTTTCCTGTTGAACCACAGCAAGGTTATGTCCATGAATTACCTGACGGCAGATGTGACATTTATTTTCAGTCCGAGTTGATCAACCTTATTGACTATGAGCACGTAGATGTCATTGCGGACTACACTGCCGAAAGAACATATTCAATCTTGACCAAGAAGTCTGACTCTTCAACAGGAATGAGTGAAGTAACCAACAATGTACAATTTATGATAGGAACAAGCTTGCTGTTGATCATGTTTGCAATATTGATGGTGATCATTAACAGGAATGACGTCTGTTCGGCTGTGATGGAAATGGTGAGGTTAGTTACTGGCATAGCACTTGAAACTCCACTCAACCGACTGGCGATCAAGCTTGTATTCTTCTTTGGGTTCTTGTTTGCATTTCTGATAGTTCCTGATTTTCTGGGCGGGATGTTATCTATTTTGTCGAACCCTACGAAGCAAAACGTCGAGTCGCTCAGGGATCTTTATGAGAAAAAGTTTCATGTTTATTATTGGGAGTCATTAAAAAGTGATTTGATGAATGAACAACTGTGGATCACTGATGAAGACAAAAAATATCTTCACCCAGTTTCTTATTGGAGCGCACAGGAATGTATGTCCGAGGTGCAAAAAAACTCCAAAGTTGCTTGCCTTCATGATACACAATTCTTACTGTTTGGGTCAAAGAGCACAAATAATTTGTACTTATCAAAGGAAGCTATTTTCAAGAAGCAATTAGTCTATTGGGCCAGGAGGAACTGGCCTTTGAAGAGTAAGTTCGACAAAATAATGCTGAAGGCTTCGGAACCCGGAATTGGATACATAACAATTTTGAAAAAAAACTTTATCGATGAGATAGTGAAAAAAAGTGTGAAGAAGAAAAAGATTGAAGAGAGTGAAAAGTATGAGCAGTTTGATTTTGATAATTTGATTTTTAGTTATTATTTCATAGGGTTTCTTGCTGTGCTTGGGATTGTGATTTTCGGAATTGAGGTAATACTTGTCAGATATTTTGGAATTAACAGACTATTCTAAACAAAATGATTTGAAATGATTAAAAAAGATTAATTTTTTAATCATTTTTAATCATACCAAATCATGTAAATCATTTTAGAAATTTCACAATTAATCATTATAAATCATTTCAAATACTGAGAAATTGACAGAATATAGAATGATTAACAATGATTAAAATTTTTTAATCATGTCGAATCATTTCTAATCATAAAATACTCCGTGGATTTCTGTCACCTCTTATGATTTGAAATGATTCAGTTAGGATTAAAAATTTTTAATCATATGGAATCATTTCTAATCATAAAATAATCGTTGAATTTCTGACTTCTATAATGATTGAAAATTATTTAGTTATGATTGAAAATTTTTAATCATGTCGAATTGTTTTTGATCATAAAAAACTTTTGAAATTTTTGTCTATGAAATGATTTAAAATGATTGCGTTAGGATTAAGAATTTTTAATCATGCCAAATCATTTCTTATAAAATTTCTGTAGCTGTAATGATTTAAAAGTTTGAATTAAAATTAAAAATTCAGAATATTGTTTCATATCACAAATATTTTTTCTGCCCTCCGGCCGGAAAGTGGCAACTTTCTGGCCGCTGCGCTAAACAAAGTTGCCACATTCCGGCTACGTCGAGCAGAAAAATAGTATACACACCTTGGCCAGTAAAAAGTAAAGCCTCAGACCACATGTTTGTCAACCTCGGCTTCGCCTCGGCCAACAATTACATGTGGTCTGAGATTTTTCTTATTTTACTGGCCTAGGTATGTAATATACTATTAAATGTGTTACAACGTAATGTTCGGTACTTTATTAATTTACACCGTTTATTAAAGAATAACGGCATTTTAAACTATAATAGTACGATACGACTCTGATTATTAGTTAACAAGGAGTATGTCGTACATTTATTAATTAATACGACGCATATACAAGATAATTTCGCTTGGCATGTCGTGTACTCAAGAGGTCTCAAGTAGTCAGCCATTTTGTTGAGGAAAGCGTCGTTTCATTGTTCAAGGAAGATCCTGGTTGTTGGTTACCTCGATTATTCGTCTGTTCCTGATCCAGTAACCGGCCCAGCTGCAGCCACGAGGAATCTACCACCGCTGGACAACGTTAAAGCACACCGAAGTGGTAGTAGTACCTGTTGTAAGTCAGGTGGTATATTGGTAAGAATTGGACGCGGTATTGAACTTACTTTGAGCTGTATTTTTCAATATTTGTATTTGACGACCATTTAGCTCTATTTTTCCAACTAAGCGATCAGCGGAGCAGTACGCGGTAAAGGTTGGTTTGTGTCGGAGCTAAACCCACTTTTCAACGAGTATCGCCACCCACGATTTGCCCTAGACCATATTC